AATGGAAGAGATGTCAAGCTCACCTTCAAAAATGCCTTGCATTCACCTTCACTCGCCGCAAATCTCATCTCCGTAAGCGCCTTAGACAAGGCTGGGTTGTCAACTGTGTTCTCTGATGGCCGTGCAGTTGTCCAGGATAAGTCTGGTAAAGAGATCTTTGCTGGGCGAGGCTCGGACGGCATGTATGTGCTGGATGCTGCACCCAGCCCCCAAGCTATGGCATCCCGCTCATCTCCCACTTCGCTGAGTACTTGGCACCGTCGTTTTGTCCATATGAGCCCTGCAAAAATCGAGGAGATGGCATCGAAAAAGCTGGTGGATGGCTTGGAAATTACCTCAGAGCCTATCCAGGGATGCTGCGAGGACTGTATTCTAGCGAGACATGCTCGCCGTCCCTTCGATGAGCCTACCAATCCCAACGTCGACCCACTGGAGCTTGTTGCGACAGATTTGTGGGGACTGTCTCGAACGGCATCACCGAGTGGAAAGACTTATATGATGATATTCGTCGATAGTGGTACATCGTTCAAGGCGGGGGAATTCCTGGCGGACAAAGCAGACGACACTACCATGGCTGCTTTTGACAGATACAGGCGCATGGCTGAGACCCAGACTGGCCGAAAGCTTAAGCGTGTACATGCTGATCGTGCTTTTGCAGGGGTAAAGTGGAAACAATATTGCGAGGAGCATGGGATCATCCTGGAATTAACTGCACCCCACTCATCAGCCCAGAATGGATTAGCTGAACGTGCCCTGTGCACCACCATGGAGGATACAAGAGCTCTACTAAGTGACTCTGGCCTCGCCGACCGCTACTGGGCTGAGGCCGCCTCTATGTCAATTTTCACACGAAACCTTGTTCCTTCGAGTCGCCATCCTGGAGTGGTACCAGCAGAGGGTTTCTCGAAGCGACGACAGGACGTGGGATTTTTACGAGTGTTCAGATCCACTTGCTGGGCAAAGAAACCTATAGCTGATAGAGTTTTGGTAGACAGTGGAAGCAAACTCGATGATCGATCAAAGAAATGCACCTTTCTGGGATACTCAGGGTCCAACTACCACATACTTGATCAATCGGGACGTGTGTTCGTGTCTCGTGATGTCATCTTCGATGAAGAACCAGCACACCGAAGTGTGAGTGTGGAGGAGACGGAGGACGAACCTGCACTCACCACTTCTACTCATACCGAGACGCCTATGCCAACCGAGCCAACCGAGCCAACTGAGCCTATGCCAGATGCTCCCACAGAACCAACTCTTCGCCGATCAACGTGCTTAATGCGTCCCAGTGCTGATGCTGCTGAATCTCTGATGTCAAAGCAATGAGAGGCTGAAGCCCATGCGAGCGGAAACGACTGGGCAACCAACAGCAAACAGCCACGCACTTCAATGGCTTCTGGTAATCCACCTGACCCATACATCCCACAAAATCATCAAGATGCACTGCGTGTCGATGAAGAGCGATGGAAGGCAGCTATGGATGTGGAATACCAAATGCATATGACGAAGCATACATGGGACCTAGTCGACAGACCGGTGGGTGTGAACGTGATGGATTGTAAATGGGTCTATGGTATGAAATGGGATGGCGATGGTAACTGGATCAAGGACAAAGTGAGGCTCGTTGGGAAGGGCTATACTCAACAGTATGGACTCGACTATAACGACACTTGGGCTGCGGTGACCCATCTCGAATCTGTACGGATGTCGGCTGCTGTTGCAGCAAAGCTCGATCTTGTCCTATGGCAAGTGGACTTTGTTTCGGCATACTTGAATAGCGAGACAAAAGAAGACATCTATATGCGTCAGCCTCCAGGGTACATAGTCGAAGGACAAGAGGATAAGGTGTGCAAACTTGTCCATACTATTTATGGGACTATGCAGGGTGGCCATGATTGGTTCGAGACACTTGGGAAAACCTACGAAGACCTTGGATACCGTGCATCGAAGGCAGACCCATGTGTACGCA